ACCACTGAGACGCTGTATAAATTACAGAAATCATGTATTTGCGAAAGTTGCCATCAACATCCTTGTAATATTCATTGTTGTATCTGAGTGTGACATAATTTCAGGCATTCAATTTATATTTTACTACCCGGGAGTGAAGAGTATCCCATTAGGATCATTCTGCTGAATAGGATTTGACGGGACTTTGCCATAGTTGTTCAATATTCAAAGCTACGAGAAGCCCAGTTGTGATAGTTCTTGCTATAAAATATGCGAACGCATGAAAGTAACAAAATAAATCAGACCACCTTCAATGATAAATCATTTCGCTATTTTCAACGACTGCACAACTTAGTCGCTTAATGATAGCTCTCGTTACTTGATGAACCAATCGCAGCTAGTCTAAAACCTGCACATGAAATGCTTCGGTGTATATTTCTCCGCCGTGAGATCGGGTAGGTCGGCTAGAAGCAGTTGTTACATCAGCGAATGCCATGGCTCATCACATTTGTTAAAAATCGGCTCGTCTGAGATATAATTTTATACTTTCCGCAATCAGAAGCTCGAGCGGAAGAGTTCATGTGATGAACTTGCTCAATATACTCAATTTCTATGCGCTCCATCATTGCTTTCCCTGAAACCGAAACATAGCAGGGCATTCAACGGAAAAGTAAACATTCCTGAAAGAAAATTGTCAAGGACATTGGTACGGTAACATCAAATTAATTAAGCAGTGCTCTGGCGTAAGTAAAATGTAACAGAAATTCTGTATTGTAAGCAAAATACAGCAGTCTTTGTGATAACAACAAAATGCTGACACTTAAATATTCACTAGCAGATTCGAATAACTCACTCTTGTCATTCAGTTCCTTCATCGAAAATTTCACCTTTTCCGCGACTCTGGTCATATCGACATAACGTTGCGCAGTCGCCTGATTCATTTTTTTCAACAATTCGTATTCATTTAAAGTACCTAGGAGAACAAGTAAACAAAGTATAAATAGACAAGCAACGGCTTGACACAAGTGAAAGAGTAAAAAAAAGGGCAATCTGCCTATGAAAATTGCAAGTTATATGAAAAATGGCGAGCTGACGCGGAAAAACGGCGGTATGGGCGAATGTTCAGCGCCCAGATTTCTGAGCGAAGGTGTAAGAAATCCGTGCAGTCTGCATCGCAGAATCTATCCTTAAATCTCTCTTGCCGATACAAACAAATTTTTATTGATAGAGCACAGTTTCTCTCTTCCTTTATTTCTACGACGCTCGGTATTTAACTGGTAGTAACAAGCTGCTTTAACGGAGATTGAGTAGAGCGATGACCGTTCGGCTGAACGACTCTGCAGCCTGCTGACATTCAATGATTGTGCAACACTACTGTAGGACTGGGTCCACAAATCAATTCCAAGAATACAAAGATCATGCAAGCACCAGATCGCAGACGAACTGATCTGGAAATAAGTCGGCGCACTGAACTGATATCGACAAATTTTAGAAGAAGACATAGCACATATCAGCAGATCGAACTATAAAAAAATTTCGAAAGTACCACCTACATTAGCGTACAATGTGCTGTCCTAAAATTCCATGCAGCTTGTCTCCACAGCTTTCAATAACACTACCAGCGGAGTATCTTCAAAGTTCGCTAAGCCATCGAATCATGAAAGAGTAAGTTGCTGACAACGAGCGGTCAGTAAACTTGTCAGAATAACTGAGAGAGATGGCTTGTGCACTCTGATTAAACAAGTCAAAAAGACTGTGTTGCTTCAAAACCGATCTCGCGTAGTGGTCTGAACTCAGCTGATCCAAGTCTACGTGCTTGCAATAAGAAATATCAACTTTGCAACAGTAAACTACTAGCTACTTATATTAATCTGACAGCATTTCTAAGTGCCATATCATGAGTCCAGAATATTCTGCAGTTCAACCTCTGTCACGTTTAAATGGCAGTAGAGGACAAAGACCTGTTCGAGAATTATGTTCATCTTTCTACACCACGTCCGACGAATGCTCGAATAAAAATGCTTCTGAAATCGATGAATATAGCCCAGGTAAGCTAGAACCGTCAGAACTGCACTATAGCTAAGCAGCATCAAGTCTGGCCAGTGAATAAAAATAAAAAAATAAAAAAAAACTGATATTTTCTTTTATTCCAAAAAATTTATCCGCCTACCGTATCCGTTCAAAAGACTTGCCTCAGTACATATACCTTCATCCCTGGTATGCCGGAATGCTTTGTCCGGAAATTTCAAAAATTTCTCCAATTAAAATATTAGGAATATGTCTGTAATTGTTAATGACAACATTCTAAGCATATCTCTGTTTGGCAAATTCCCATATGACACGGACTGTGAATATTACACTACATATACAGCCTTTACCAGCTGCGTCTACGTCGATCATCATACATCTCTCAGCACGTATATCACTGCAACGTGTTTCGCTCTATCAGATACATGACAAATAAATGCTGCATTGCATTAACCCTGTCTCCAATGAATCACTGTGAAAGTGAACAGTGCTGCATCGTTATACCTTCAAACTGTCCATTTATATAATTTGTCGTCTTTCTGACCATGTCCACTGATAGACGTTCTTGCTCGTCGTTTTTGACAGAAGTACCGGGTGCATCGTCAGCCGCATTTGCATCAGTCCTTTCTCCATCTTGAACTTGAACCATGGCCTCTATGCTTGACGGCTTTACATCTAAACCGATTGCGTATTATTGTCAGAATATCAAAATCAGCATTACCTAACGGAATTTGGGATGTCATTATGACGATGACAGCGAAAACTGAAGATAAAAGTCGACTACAGTAACATTATTCGCGAAATGCTTCAAGCATCAAGCTGAAATGCAATAATATATTAAGTTTAGATCTCTTTTCCTTACATGGTAAGTTTTTCCGTTTAAATCCGCTATCTGTATTTTAAATGTGACATGTACTGGCGGTATCGAAACTTCTTACTCGTGTAAGCTACCTAAAAACATCCAGGATGTTTTGTTTCATTGTGTTTGCATTTGCCTATGAACAATGGCAAATCTGTTTAGGACTGAACATACTTTTCTGACCTCCACTCAGAAATGCGGCCATTCATCCTATGCTCTGCTAGAGATTAAAAACAGTGGAGCCGTGGCCTGCTAAAATGACACCCCTAGGCGAGTGGAAACAAAGGGTCGATGCAGTGCTGCGGTACAACCCGATGTAAATGTTTCTATCAGTCTTACATAATCGCAGCGTCGGCTAAAGTAAAGGAAAAATTGCTACTTTACACGGTACATTTTTACCGCATAAATATGGTATCAGTATTTAAAATGTAACTTTTACCGGCGGAATTGAAAACTTTTACTTGTGGAGGCTACCCTAGAAAACCAGTGTTATCTTGTTTCATTTTGCTTATAAGTTAAATTGTAGAGTCAGGTCCTTTACAGGCTCCCTGCTTGACATAAACTGTGTTTACTACCTGTGAAATCAATTTACCAACTAGCAGCGCATATAATGACAACAATGAAACCATGGCACAGCTGTACAGTCCGCATTTAAAACGACGTTCCCACCTTTGGGCCTAATGTATATCGGTAAAAGCAGATCAAGTCACATGTTTGGAAAAGATTTAGAATGCACCTTACATTGAAATATAGTTTTAACACTTACAGTAAGCAAAGTACTAAAGT